AGTGGCTGGTCCTGGTAGGACTTGCCAAGCAAAGTTACAAAATCCTAAACCAGTTTAAACCACCTGAGCTGTCATTTGCAAGCAAGGTCATAGAATTTTCATGCTTACCTGGCAAAACAAGTTCTATTTGCATGATAAACACTATCCACAGATAATGTCATACCTGACCTCTAACATACTCTCGAATTTGCACTCCCCAGCAATGTGTATTTTAAAAGCTGTTCTGCCCACATGTCAGCATAGCATGGCTGTTAATTTAACAAGAGGTAATTAAGCTACTGCCATATTGATGAGTGTATTAGAAAAAAACAGACATGTTGGGGAAAGTGTATGACTGGATTGTACCTCAACTTTGCTCTTCTGTTGTTTGCTGGATAAAACAAATGTTTGGCCCTTGATAGTCGCCTTTCTGTTACCATTTTCCTGGTGTTTTTCTTTTTTCTTCAATGTCTCTCTTTTCCTGTGCATGTGTGGTTTGGATGGTTGGTTGCAAGCCTTTGGTATCAACGCTGTATTCTTACTGTCTTCACCGAGTATCGACTATTGGCCAAAATGCACATGTGGCTGACCATGACCATTACTTTTCATGTGTCTGGATGTCTTGCATCTGTGTTTTGCAAAGATGTCTAGCTGTATTTGAAATTTTCTTATATTTTCTATTTCTCTTGCTCTACAGCATGTTAAAATTATGGATGTAACTTAATTGTATCCCAGAGCCTTTGATTCTGTGTTTCGGAGAATTTTCCACATTGTGTTGGTTCAATCACCTCATAGATAGTGTTACTAAAATTTATAGAAGTTAGCAGATTTGGTGAGGGAACTTCCTGTGGCCCAAGGCATAAGCTTTGCTTATTATTTATGTTGATCAGCAGTTTGAGAGCAGTAGGCCGAAGCATTTGTGAAGGAGATAAATGTCATCTCCTGCAGCTCTGGCTGCCCTCTCTGTATGTATCACTGTGTAGCCATAGCTGAGAACCAGGTGCTGCAGCCCTGCATGATGCCAGCTGCCTCCTTCCATGGTATGTTAGCCTCACGCCAACGAGAAGGAGGAGATTGGAAGTCAGGAGATGTGTCCTTACGTGACACTGGGATTCAAACAGGGATGGGAACAAAATCCAGATTGCTGACAACACATTTAATGTTTTAGGCATCCTTTTTTACCATCATGGGTTTCAGAAACATAGTGGTAGGAGCTTTAAAAATGTATAAAATAGAGGATGGTAATTGTCCCTCCCTAGTAAACTTCATTCATGCCTTTGCCTTGTCAGAATGCTGGATATAATTCATACCTTGCTGTCCAGGAAATGATGAGGTAAGAGCCAGCGCAGATCTTAATTCTGCCCAAGGAACTGATTATACCTGTTGGAACAGCTCAGTAACTATAAAAAGCAGGTATGAAATACTGAAAAAATACATTTTTGCTTGCATTTTCAGCTTTCGTTGTGTATGCTCCAGCTTCAAGTAGCTGGGAAATACTTTAGCAAAGGAAAGCAGAACTGTTAGCTCACAGCAAGTGCCATCTTTCAGGGAGCAAGCGTACTTGTTTAAGAATGGCATTTGTTAGGTTGCAATGGTAATGGCAAGCAAGGTTTTCTTCTCATGTGCTTTCTCAGTGATGTGACATGATGTGACAGTTGGTAGTTTGTGGGTGCAATGAGATGTCACGGAGGAATGTCACGATGGAGCGAAGGAATCCTCCAATCAAAGGTGGAGGGTTTGTAACATTTAGCGCGTCTGAGAACATTTTAAAAACATACAGCAGGAACATTTGTTGTAGCTCTTGCTTGCTTTAGATGACTAACTCAAAATTGGATGCAACCCATGGCGGCTGCGCTTTCTTTCTAGGGGTGTTGTAGTGCTTGTAACATGGAAATATAATGTTCTTAAAGAAGGTTTCAGCTAAATGTTGGAGCAGCTTAATCTCTTACTTCCAGTTTAAACTGTGAGGATTTTGCTACCCCTTCACATTTCTGAAGGACATTTCTCTGCTTGTAAGGTCTTCAGTTACTTTGTTACATTAATTACAGTTAATAAGTATTTTTCCAGTATTTTCATGCAACAGATTTTCTTCTTTATTTTAGGGTAGGGAAGGCATGTGTCAAGGAGGCTAGCAGTATGAACCTTCCCCTGGGACACAGGAGACCCAGATTTTAATTCCCTTCACCTGGAAGACAAGAACAGGCACACTGATTAAAATCTGGGTTCATTTTTTATTCATCTGCTATTCTGTCTGAGGCAGGGCCAGTACTGAGACAAGCTGGAGCATAGGAGGTGCAAGCTGGAGCATAGGAGGCTCAATCTGAATATGAGGAAAAACTTTTTTTGCTGTAAGGGTTACAGAGCACTGGACCAGGCTGCCCAGAGAGGTTGTGGAGTCTCCTTCTCTGGAGACATTCAAAACCCGCCTGGACGCGTTCCTGTGTGACCTAGTCTAGGTGATCCTGCTCTGGCAGGGGCGTCAGACTGGATGATCTTTTGAGGTCCCTTCCAACTTCTAAGATTCTGTGATTCTATGTGAATGAGGTGTAAACAGCTCAGGTATAGAGTGGTACTTCTGTCTTTTCAGCTTTTTGATGTCTGCCTCTTTTTGTGTTTAGTAATGCTTGATGTACTTTCCTTACATAAATTCATCTAATGGGAGATCAGATCTGTCATATCTCAGAAGGTAGACTCAATTCTTTTCATAAAATAAAAAGAGAAATATTTATGCGAAGCTGCAGCTGGTGATGTTCAGAGGCTGATCCCAGGCTAGCTTGGCAGCAGCATACACCTCTTCAGGTCTGAGCTCGGGTCTCTGTCGCTTTCTTGGGCATGGGGACTCGAAGTGTGAGTGGTGGACCTATCAGTGTGCGATGTGGGGTTTCTGTAAGAAATGGTGTGCCTTCAGGAGAGGATCCATAGTTGAATGGGCTGAAAAAATATAGATACATTTCTTAAGCCTGAAGGCAGTCCAACATCTTCTACTGACCACCACTTATCTCAGTATTTTCTGTGGATCTTATACAAAGGAGCATTGTAGGGAAATCCCAATGAGGTCCTGGAAGCTGCAGCCTCACAGTCTCTCTGTGGATTTAGCTGTCAATAGCTTATTTTCCTTTCATCGTGTTTGGTTCCATTTTCTTTGAGGGAGGTGAAGACTACACATGGTAACAGAGCCTTTCCCACATACTAAATGTTTTCAACGTTTTTCTTGTTGGTGCCGATGGATCAGCTGTGCTTCTAATATAAAATTTGACTTCCCCAGCGAACTTCAGAGTGCAATGACTCAACTTCCCAGATGCAACAAACGCAACATTGTCTCACTGACCTGCGGTGGCTGTCTTGTGAGACTGCCTGGAGATTGCCTAGCATCAGATGCCCAGCTGCATATGACCGCTTCTTTTTCTAATGCTTCACATTGCTTAGCGCAGCTAGAATTAAACCCTTCAAAATGTTTTCATTATTGCTTTCCCGGGGGGACACTAGGTATCAGCAAATTGCAAAATAAGCTGAGTCAGTGAAGGAGTTTTGGAACTCTTGCAGAATCTTCCTTGTGGAGAGACCTGAGCTCCCAGATTAGCTCGGTTTGGGAAGCACTTGCAAATGTTAGCTAAAAGCCTTTCCTCGCCTGCAATATTCTGCTCTCTTCCTTTTGTGACACAGCCTTCTTCCACTATCTTGACAAAAAGGCTTTCATGCAATCTGGCATGTCAGCTGTTGCCTTTGTGCATTGTGTTGGGTCTAGAATAAAGCATAAGCTCTTCAGCCCCAGTGCTTTACAGCATGGCATGAATGCTGATGGTGCTCTGATTAAGAAAAAAGCAACCAAGCAAACTTAAAATTAACAATAACTAAACAGATTTGGGAACTGTGGGTTCCTAGAAGTAGTTGCATTTTTATAGGTTTTTTTGTCTTTCTCCTTTTAAAGCTGTTCACCTCGGTATTTTCATGGCAGAAAACTGCATTATTAGGACATAGACTTGTGTGTAGACCTTAGTGCTTCATGATTTATCTTCAGAAAGCCAATTAGTGCTTGAAGTAGAATCATACTTCAGAAGTATGATTTACATTCCTTGTCTTATAAGCAGCAGCAAGCAACCACACTGCAAAACATCATCTTAAGAAAGGGCAAGTACTGGTTTGCTTCTATACATCTTTTCTATATATTTCTGTTTCTAGAGGCTTTTTCCACGAACCTAGTATGCGTCAGTGTGAACACTGCAGAGAGAGTACAATTCACTGCAGCAGAGCTCCTCCAGGGAGATAGCTTAATCAGCCCTAGGGTGAGTTCTTAAGGGAAGTGACAGACTATAGAAAAGCAGCAAAGATGTGAAATCTTTGAAAAGAGGGATGTGACTCTACCTTCTGTAGAGGAGCAATTCTATTACACCCTGTAAGGCATAAATAGAAAGCAATTCTATTATAGGTTGTGAGCCAGAAGTGGAGCATCCATCCTGGCTTCCCATGCTGTAGTGGGCAATTAGAAATCAAATTCACATGGACCCTCGAAAGTACAGAACAAAAAAAATCCACCAACCCAACTATGCTATAATCAAGCGCCAGGCTGCTGACAGAACCTCCTTGGTAGTAAAACCATGATCCAACCTCTTAAGAAATATGTTTTGTGCATTAGTTTGCTTGGATTTTACCCTGAACCCTGTTGTTTCAGGCATTTCAGGCAAGGCAGTTTTGGCACTGTTGAGTAAGTGTGCAGTGTGCCCTCCATCATTGCAATCTGTTTTCAAATACTTTGGAACTGACTTCTGGCTACAGGTGTCAGTGTGGGCACTAAGCATCTTTACTTGTGGCAGCCTACGTATCTCATTTTGAGGAGGGCGAAAAGCTGAAGCTTAAGGCCCCAGGCAGTGTGAAGATGAAGATACTCCAGCTCTGGCTATAACCAGCTGTCAATTTCTATCAGCTTTGGAAGCAGAGAGGAGGAGAAAATAGAGAACTGAGTGCAGGTGAACACAGAAGTCAATGCAGGAATTGACCACTGCTTGTTTGTTCTTTATTGACAGGTTGATGACGCCTGGGAGTGAAATTCGGTTTGTCCAGAAGCACATGGGTCTGGTGCCAGGCTGGGGAGGAGCTGCCCGGCTGGTGCGGATTGTGGGCAGCACAGCTGCCCTCCGGCTGCTGAGTGGGGCTGCCAGGGTGGACCCCAAGAAAGCTTTGTGTCTTGGGCTCTCCGAGGAGACGCTCTCATCTCCAGATGAAACCGGAGCATTAGAAGAAGCCCGAGCCTGGCTGAGTCAGTACACAGAGGGTCCAGCCAGTGTGATTCGGGCTGTGAAAGCAGTGGTGACCGCAGGAAGAGAGCTGCCACTGGAAGCTGCCCTAAGGACAGAGAAGGACATTTTCGGCACTGTATGGGGTGGGCCTGCCAATTTGGAAGCATTGGTTAGAAGACCAAAACATAAATGATGATCAGTGCATAAGAAACATTCTTGACCTTTTTGCAAACAAAGCTTTCACAAATGCAGGCATTAAACGGAATCATTTAAGGACTTGTTCATTCAAACCGGCATTAACATTCCTGTCCTTCAGATCAGGCAGACATATTTGGTGTGCAACCACAGAGAAATCCCCAGCAGATTCTTTACTGTTCTAATCACCCAGTGAATGGAGATTAGTGAAATTAGTATGCAAAGGTGAATACTATGCTGAGAATAGAAGTATAATTCTTTTGGAATGAGGCTGAAGATTATTTTCTTTGGAGTTAATTTTGGTTTTCTAACTGGTATGGAAACTAATTGCTTGAAAGATACGAGGTTTATTTACTTGTAGAACAGGTACATCTAAAGCTGCAAAATAGGAGTTTCCTGACATGAGACCAGTGTCTTTAAGCAGCTCTGAAGGGAATCACTTATGGTGATTTTCACAGGAGAAGCTCTAACTCACTGAGGAGCTTACAGCCCTCATTCACTGATACCAATTCAGGTTTTCAAATGCATTTGAGTGTCTTCTCACTGCTTGAGGAACTAACTACCCACATACACATCTGCACATTCCTATAGCCTGGACCTGTGCTGCTGAGCACGTGCAAAGCCGATCACCTTGATTCTTTACATAGACTCTAGTTGAAATCTTGGAAGGCCATGATGTATCATGTCTCCAAATGGGATGTTCTTGACTGAGTGGTCAGAGTACTTCAGCATTCTGGAAGAACTTTGTGGATCTGTCTGTATTGTACTTCAGCCTGTTTTTACTGGTAGGGCGTATCTGGGTAGACCAGATTTGGAACTCATTCTCCACTTCGTGATGGTGACTGTGCAAGTAATTAGATAACTCAGTGGGGAGGCTTTTCCCTTTAGAAATTAGAAACTGACACAGTCTCTGCTTTGGCAGATGATTCTTAAAATGAAACATCTGTGAGATCAAAAAAACACAGACATATCCATGACTGCAAGTTCCCTGTACTGTTGGTTAGGATGCGCTTGTCTCTAAATCCAGCAGGGGCTGAGATCTGAGCCCAGGACTCAGGTACCACAGGGGAGCATGATAAGAAGGAAACTTTGGGCACTGACACGCATTCTTGCTCTCATAAGTAACTCTAGATACGTGGAACAAGCTCCTTTAGAAAAAGGAGGCAATTCCTTGGGTGGCAATCCATGTTGTGATTTCTACAGTGTGGCAGGATTCTTGAGTGGTAACTGTAGGTATGTTTGAGGATCCTGAGACAGATCAATGATGGGAATTAGGCCTAGATGGCCTGTTAAGATTCTGCAGCTTTAGAGCAGATACTGTGCTCTGCTGGGGATGTTTTACTGTATGGCTTTCACATCAGGGAGCATGTATAGCCTGAAGCAACCAAAAGAAACACTTAAGAGCTTGCACTTCAGAGTGGGTAAGGAACTTACTCTGCCGCATTGATCCTGCCCGTTTGCCTTCACACCTGAAGCTGCAGCTGGAGTAAGATTTCAAATCTCTCTTCCCCAAAAATAAAGTTCAATTTTTACTTCCAGATTAGAGAAAAGACAGGAATAGGAACAGGGGGAGAGAGAGGTGATCTGGTTTGTGCCTCTGCCTCACTCCTGCCCCAGTAGCTCAGCTGTTAGTTCCCTGTGCAGCTGGATTCTTTCCTGTGCTCTAAAGGACTTCAAACCCATGATTTCTGAAGTGCAGATGTTTTAATATAGTTGGGCAGTGCTTGACTGTTTAGTAATGAAGCTGTTCTGCTTTTCATGAAGTTTCTCAAGGTTCATGAGGGATTCCAGACTGCTCACATCACTGAACCTTCAGAGCATGCTCCAGTGCATACTCATCTGACTTTTTGAAGCAACAGCACATCACATTGTCATGAGTCAAAAAATTGTGCTTTAAAGGGCAACTGGTTATGTCTTTGCTAGTAACAAAATAAATTTGCTATTGCTAATACTATGATTGTTTTTTAAATGGGTGTGAAAATTGCTTAGAATCTGAGCAAGGCCTTTGAAACTTTTTTTAAATGATTTTTCAGGTACCAGGCTGTATTCTGTGTACTGTGTGATATACATTTGAAAGGGAGGAAATTGTAGCAGAAAAGCAGAATCTCTTTTACTTGCATGTTTTGAACTAGACCAGTGCTGCCAGTAAGTGCAACTCAGGTTGTACACCTATTGGGGACCTCCTTCCATTTTGTTTTGTACACAATGAGCTTACTTCTCATTTCATCACAGAATCACAGAATCACAGAACGTTAGGGACTGGAAGGGACCTCAAAAGATCATCTAGTCCAATCCCCCTGCTGGAGCAGGAACACCTAGATGAGGTTGCACAGGAAGGCGTCCAGGCGGGTTTTGAATGTCTCCAGAGAAGGAGACTCCACAACCTCTCTGGGCAGCCTGTTCCAGTGCTCTGTCACCCTCACTGAGAAGTTTCTTCTCAAATTTAAGTGGAACCTCCTGTGTTCCAGCTTGTGCCCATTACCTCTTGTCCTATCATTGTTTGTCACCGAGAAGAGCCTGGCTCCATCCTCGTGACACTCACCCTTTTCCCCAGCCATCCTCTCTGATTTGTATCAAAGGCCAGCATTTGCTTCTAAGAACAGGACAAATAATTAACTAGTTCTGAGTAAGACACTTTCAGAAAAGGTTACACTCATTTTGTCCTCTGATCTGTTGGAATCACAAATATACCAAACATAGCTACAAGAGATTCCAAAGGTAATTACAGGTGTTTGTTTTGATGAAGGATTTTGTGAGCAGCTTCATACCATACTCTCGTTTCTTTTCTGTTTTAAAAGCAAGTACAGCCCTTCGTATGAAAACCACCCTAACTAAATTACCATGAGTGCGAGCATGAGAGCTCCAGACTGAGATGAAATGGAATCCCACCTAACCAATTTCAAACCTAAATGCTTTATTTCATAGAATACTTGCTTGTTATCTTAAAGCGACATATACTTGTAACCAGCAGCTGCTAAGTATTTATATTTTTATAATTATTAAAGACTACAAGCTTCCTCTCTAGTTTTCTTCCCGTTCAAAAATGGCCTAAAAACAAACAAGCACTAAATGCACAAAATAAATTAGAAACCTCAAAACTGATACTCCTAGTCTCCTAATTAAATGGAGATCTAGCTTTTGTATTTCCTAGGGGCCAGTTTGCCAGCTCCCTCCTTAGCAAACTAGGTTTCCTATTAGACTGTGAAATGCCTGTCTTGTTCCCTTGTCTCTGTGCACTGGGACAGCCCGAGTGCTTAATGGGGGTGTGCATTCTGTGCCAAGTGTTTGAAGGTTTGATAATGGAGATCGCTTTTAGCAATACAGAGAATTTATCTTATTGTCTGCTGACAAAAATATACTTGGCAAATGGGCAATCTAGGTGTTCTTGCTGAATGCTTGGTTCACTGAGTGATATTTTTTTTTTACTGCGACATAGGATTCCTGTATCTGTGGTTATCTGTTCTCCTGGAAATGAAGAGATGTGGTAGATTTTATAGCATTTTAATTTCCTTTTTCCTTTCCATATTGCTCCGCTGTGCATTTCTCTAGCTACACTGTACAAGTTGAAAATCACTTAATGTATGGAGTTACAGAAAAACCACATAATGCATCATGGCTGGGGCTTAGCTAAAATTGACAGAGAACATACCTCCTACTGAAGGTAATGGTTTAAATGTAAGATGGGAATTACCAGTTATTAGTTTTTCATAGCTTTATCTGGGGAGCGCATTTGCCACTCTAATGATTAGCTTACTAGCCAATTACCAGCCTTTAACTAATTTTACTACTTCACAGCTGCAGTCAGCCAGCAGGAACCAAAAGCAGCAGCATGGGTGTTCAACTGAACAGGAGTATGCCTCTACTTTGATCAAAAACCCTCAAGGAAAATGACTGATAAAATTATTTGTAGACTGTTTGGGCTGAAAAATCCTGAAATTCAGGATATAGCAAGTCAAGTTCTTGCATTTTGCTTCTTACTTTCTTCAACAGTACACACCCTCACATCAAGTAAAACGTGTGCTGCACATAGCAGAAGTGCTCTTACCGAAGGTTTTGCAGCACAAAGACTGATTAAAGCCACTGTGTGCTAACTCAAAACAGAGAAATAAGACAGCTGTCATCTAACAAATAGAAGGAAAATACCTTCCATCCTCTTTCCTTTGGAAGTCCATGTTACTGGATTTTTTTCCTTATGGAACGGGAAGGTGAGCATAAAAAAAATCTCTGATCAAGAGCATCCGTGCCTAGCTAAGAAAGAAGGAAATCTTCCTTACTCTATCCTGGTCTCCCCTGCGCTTTCCTTTGCTCACTGACCCACTGATCTCACCCATGGGCAGAGGAAACAAACTGGAGGACTGGCAGAGCTTTACCTATTAGCCAAGTCAGCCATTATTACAACAAGGAAAACACTTCAGAAGCTTAAATGCACCATTTTAAAAAACCAGCCCTTTTAATTCAATTCAAATGGTTGGTTGCCTATAGCAATTTTTGGCTGAAGATGCACAGTACCTATGTATCAGCTACTGTCCCTTTCTCTACAGGGATATATGTACTAAGAATTGGAGTTTAATTAGCTTTATTTTAAAGAGTGAGTCCAGAATCAACTAATGCTGTTTCTCAATTTGAAGAAATGTAAACCAGCTGCCATAGACAGAATAAGACAAGCTGTGCTTTTCAAGATCTAGCTTTTAGCCTTCTCTAATACAGAGAAATCAGTTTGTGGCAATCTAGGAGATGCATTTCTAATACAAGCACAAAACTACCTTTTTTCTATGCTACCACTAGTTTTGCTACAAAGAAGAGATAAACAGTACTATAGTCCTTAACATCTGTGTTCCTTGTTATGGGGTCAAGTTTGGTAACTTACACTCTTGTATTTTTTTCTGCTGTTAAAGCTGTGTGCAAAAACTTCTGCCTGCCGTAACAGTGAAGTGAGGTGATCAGCTCTTCAGATAAGAGGCGTTAAGACTGCAACTCATGATTTTTCAGTAGAAAGAT